GCTGCATTTCCCCTGGATTGACTCATTTATTCCTTATCCTTCCCTACGGAATGGGAATGCTGGGATTCCATCCCTGGCCGAGATAAAGCTGGTGGTTTTTAATAAGCTGAAGGAGCCAGGCTGCCAAATTAATTTTAATTAATTAATTTTAATTTTAGGAAGACCTTTTCCCGTGTGACCTTTTGGATTCTTCGAGCCAGGCTGGGATTTGGGATTTCCGGCTTCCAAATTCTTCTGGATTCTTCAATAATAAGAGTTTTACTCTTTATTTTTGCTCCAATATTCTCTCATTCCCTGCTTTTCTCCTTTTTCCCCAAGAACCAGGTTGCTCCAGTGCCAAATTCCCGCTCCTGGGATGGGATCAATGACCCGATTTCCTCGTTAATGGAGTTGCATGGGAGGATTTATTTTTTTTTAATTCCTTTTCTGTTGGTTTATTGTTGTTTTTTCCTGATTTTTTCCACAGTTGGGGTGAAATAAAACTGACCCACGAGCAGCAGAGGATTTTGAATCACAGGATTGAGCCCGGGCAGATAGTGAAAATTATGGCGTTTGCAGGTAAGATCCCAAAAATTCTGTGGGAAAAATGAACAGGAGAACCTCAGTCTGGCCCTTCCCTCCCGGCCCAGGGATTGTGGGATTCCAGGGGGATCAACTTGCTCCTCTGGGATAACAAATGGAAGGGAAAAGCCCCCCAAAATGGGAACAAAAATGGGAGAGAGGAGTGGGAATATGTGGGAGAAGGGCCCTGCAGGTCCTGAGGGCAGGGAGGGTGGAAGAGGAGAGGCTCCAGGGGCTGGAGCAGGGATTTTCCTGCATCCCATGGGAAAAAAGGGATCTACTCTGGAGCAGTTCCTGAAGGACTGACCCCATGGAAAACAGGGATCTGTGCTGGAGCAGTTCCTGAAGGAGTGACCCCATGGGAAACAGGGATCTGTGCTGGAGCAGTTCCTGAAGGACTGACCCCGTGGAATAAAGGGATCTGTGCTGGAGCAGTTCCTGAAGGACTGACCCCATGGAAAACAGGGATCTGT